AAACGGAGACGGGTTCGAACCGACCACTGCTATGAGAGATGCGCGATTCTTCGTCGGGGCCTGTGCTCCCAAACGCATTAAAACTGGCTGGCATAGCGTACTGATGGCATGTCCGGAGCCGATGCACAACACAACTCGCCTAGTGAAGGCTTAGATGAGGCTCTTGCGCAGAAAGCCTACTACGCACCTGCGCACACAAGGTCAAGGTCCGATGTGTGCGAGTAATTACTTCAGGAGTATCGTCGATGCTTGGATGAAGCTCTAAAATATTACGAACCTGCGCGCGCGAAGTCAAGATCCGATGTGTGCGAGTACTTCTTCCAGGCGTTTCGTCGCGTAGTGGGTACGGCGCACGGGGTCGAGTAGGGGATCGACGACAGAATTGATTTACTCCAGAATTATTGCTCGTTGAATCTGCGAACCATACGCAGCATGTTCGGAAATTCGACAACCAGTCTACGCATTGCTTGGTTCAGCGAGAGAAATAGAATATGAGGAGCATCGATGATTTGGTCGATCCCCTACTCGAAAGAGAATCGGAGTCGATCGGAGCTACGCGAAATGGGCTCCGCCTGGACGCCACTGGCGGGGGCGGGCTGCCAACCCACAGATTGGGCTGCAGGCCGAGAGAAGGAGGGGCAACTGCTAGGGAGGGGAGGCTTTCGAGTAGGAGATCGACGATAAAATCGACTTACCCAAAAAGCGAGTTGTTCGGTCGATTCTGCAAAGGTACGTCGAGTGCTTCGTAGATCTACTGAGCATGTCATGCATATTTCGTGGATTCGGTGGGAATTGAGTCTGGGTGAAATCAAGTATGTAGTCGATCCCCTCCTCGAGGACTGGCACAAGGGCGGGCGCATCGACATGGAATCGGCGATACATCGACGATAGTTCGACGATGAGTCCCCGATAGTGAATCCGCACGTTCCTGGGAAGGTTGGGGCTATCGGGCACCTATCGGCGATCAAGGGGCGATTAGGGACCGATGCATTCCCCCCTCGGACGTACATGCCCGTGCGGTGTGTTTGTTCGTTCGTGATTCTGACTTTGCAAATGGTTTATTATTTTCCTGGCGATGTCCGAGCGATGCCGAGCAATCGTGCAACGACCCAGGCCTCATCTCTAATGCATGTATGGTTTCGAAAACGTGCCTGTAGATCGTGCCGCCACGGGCCACACCGCAGTGGAATGCAAATCGTCGCCTAGATAGCAAAGAAAGACCAGGCGCGCTAGACACAAAACCTTGGAACTTGACCTCTGAAAAACCATCGCGAAGTACCCGCAACCCACGATCAAGCCCGTGCGTTCACAGAAAAACAAATACACAAACATAAGCAAGTGTCGAAGGGGTCCGCGCGGATTTTTTAGCTCGGCGCCGGACCCCCCCCCCCCATGCTGGTGCGCGGAGCGTGTCAGGGGCGGCGCGGATGGCGCCGCCTGAGTGGTCCAGCGTAGGTCTGCGAAATCCGCGCGGAACCTTGAGCATCCCCAGGCATCCGCCGAATGTTGCCAAACAGCGTTTGGACTGAATTTGTTCTGCTACAGTGGGGGCGTTGACCTAAGGAACCCTAAATAAGGAACGAGGCCCCTGTTTTTCCATGAGTTGAATTTCGATTCCCCATCGAAACCCTAAGCAAAACCAAATGCGAACTACAAAACAACTAAGGAACACCGAGCCTCTCCCCAACAAAAAGGGTTCCTTGTTCAGCGCCCCGACTGTACCCCTTCAGGGAACTGAGCTCGTGTGCCGCCCCAGCCAGCCTGTTCTCGCCCCGTCGCCGCCTCGTCGCCGCTGGCAGCCGCCCGTCGCCGCCCCGTCGCGAGCTCGTTCGCGCCCCGGGCGGGTTGCCTTCGCCCCGCCGCCGCCAGGTCGCCGCCCTGTCGCCGCCCGTCGCCGCCGCCCCGTCGCCACATGTCTTTGCAAACGTACCGAATCGCGCTGCAATCGCATCGCGTTGCGATCGCAGTCCTTTTGCGACAGCATTGCACTCGCGGCGCGTTGCTTTGCGCTGTTCCGAAAAACTCCACAATGCTGTAGATTGCTCCACGAAGCTCACACCATGCATGCACATGTATTCAAACGAATAAGTTGCATCACTAAGACTGCAGTGCGTAGCTTAAGCGCATGGATCGCACCGCGGGGGGTCTCTCGTCTAAGATGATATTTCGGGTCTACCGCCCTGCCCCCGCGAACAAGTCCGCCCCCTGGGGATGTGCGGTTTACGCACGCGGCCCCATCGCCAATCTCCCATGTGTACTCATATCATCACATGCAGGCCCGTGATTCCCCCCGTCACCTTTTGTAAAACAGACAGTGCGCGCGCTCTTTTTTACCCAACCATCCTGTGGCGTTGGGTCCTCGTTTTGAAGAGACGGTGCCCCGCGTTCCTCTCCTCTACTCTTCCTCCCCTCTTCCTACCGTCCGCATGCGTCCCCCCCGCTACATCGGTTCGTGGCCCTATAGGGAGCCTCACCAAAGGTCCCATGCTACCGTCCGCATGCGTCACCCCCACCCAGCAGCGTTTCGTGGCCCCCGTCCACTTGCGTCCCCCCCCACCCACCACAACGTTCTGTGGCCCCATATGAAGCCCCACCGAAAAATCAAGTGCTATCGTCCGCGTGCGCCCCGAAAACCCAATTTGGCATTTTCGCCAACCCGATACAACGGTTCGTGGCCCCATAGGACCCCCCCCCGAACCCCTGTGGGACCGGCACTTTCACCCACCCAGTACAGCGTTTCGTGGCTCCATAGGGACCTCCACCGAAACCCCCAGTGGGACCGCCCGCGTGCGGTCCACGCACGCATTTTGGCATTTTCACCCACTCAGTAAAGCGCTTCGTGGCCCCATGGGAACTCCGCCGAAGCCCTCAACGGGACCGCCCGCATGCGCCCCACACGCGCAATTTGTCTAGGATGGACGATGGGGCCGAATCATTTGTAAATTGCAACACGAAAAAGTGTATCGTGAATCTTGAGAGGGAGGTAGCGTCCATTTTTTTGGAAGGGAGAATCTATGTGGTGCCAACTACGTGCTGCAATCCATGTGGTGCAAATTTTCGAGTTTTCGGTGCGGCGACGGTCGGCGACGGAGGCGGCGACGGCGGCGACGGGCCGCACGGGCTGCGACGGGCGGGTTCGCGGCGACGGGCGGCGACGTCGACGGGCGGCGACAGGCGGCACGGGCGGCGACGGGCGGAAGGGGCGGCGACGCGCGGCAATCACCCCGATGGGCGGCGACGGCGACGGGCGGCACGGGCGGCGACGGGCGGCAAGCACCCCGACGGGCGGCGTCGGCGACGGGCGGCGACGGGCGGCAACCATCCCGAGATGGTGAACACAAGTAGAACCCCTAAGCACAAACACGGGCTTTGGGAAAAAACGATGGAACCAGATGATACAACAATCCCCACGCGCGCGGCGTCGCGCACGCATGCTTCAATCCTTCAGCAAACATGGGATGTCGCGAAGACTTCACAATCGAAGTTCTCCAAGCCAGAATTATGTAAACACGGGTCTCTGCAACATAGTTTAGCACAAAAGTCACCGCTTGTGCGTTTGCGGAGTCTGACAAAAACCTGGTGTTTTTTTTCTCGAACGTTCATCAAGCGCGACCAAGCGGGCTTCTCGGGCTCGCGCGTCGAGCATATTCGAAAGCCATTGCGCGCTCAACGGGGGGAGGCACGACCCCTGTGAAAGAAACGCCGTCCGCACCACTCGCGCCATCCTGCCGCGCGCGCATGTCGAGATCTGCCTAAAACCTGCATTGTCGACGCATGGGCGCCATTATCGTCACTAGCGTAATCAGCATCGCCGACGTCATTGGCCCTGCCGTCGTCAACGTCATCCTCGCCACCAACATCGCTACTATCATCATCGTGTCTGCCGTTGTCAACGTCGCCATGATACCGCACCCGCCCTAACCACTGACTCGCACTGAACAGCCCGCGCGTCAGCGCGGCCCGCAAAACGCACTGGGAAGTCCCCGGCGGTCATCGCTTCCGCGGCCGCGTCGGTCGCGCCAGGCCAGTTGGCCGCTCTGCGCGCGAGCCTGCGCGCGTTAGCGCGGCCGCAGCGATGCGCCAGCTAGCGCCAAGCATCCATCGCAATCGCCGCCACATGGGTTTTGCAAACCTGGTTGCTGGTGGGTGGGTGGGATGGTTGTGCGAAGAGTGGAGTTGACAACGCACTATGAACAACTATAACTTGCACCACATGGCTTGCACCAGCTAAATCAGCACGCTGGCTCCTCAAAGTCTTAACCACATAGCTTGCAGCAAATAGCTCATACCTCAAATATCGCACTGCATATGTTGCAACACTTGGATTGCACCAGGTAGCCAAAACCGCATCGATCGCACCCCAATGGATTGCACAACAGACGCTGCCCTACGCAGCTCGCGCCCCATGGCTCGCGCCACATCTAGTGCACGACGTGGACTGCACCAGATAACTTGCAACACATAGCTTGCACCACATCTGGCCATCGCTCGGACGTCCATTTCCTGTGTTGTTTTTCGCCTTCGTGAGTGTTTTTTCGCCAAATGATCAAGGATGCTCCTCGATGGTCCTCGTCGAAGGAAAAATGCACACGTCCGAGCGATGCCAAGACATAGCTGGCACCATCAGCTAGTATGGAAGAAACCAGTGCCTGGGGCCCACGCTGGCGAATCCGATTGTTCCCCAATCTGCGGCAACTGCGGTGCCGACCCCTTCCCCAAAAAATTAACTGCCCACTCCCAAGCGGTTTTGCTGGATGCCCTGGGCCCGTAAACGGGCCCCAGAGGCCGAACTCGAGCAAACACTGCCCACGTTGATTTAAGTCGGGCCTGTCCCCCTACAGGGGGATTTGGGGCGAACAAAATACAAATACTAACAACACGCTCCAACATTGTCAAACAATGCTATAAAAAAACAGTCCCCAGACTATTTTTTACTATTTTTGAAGATTCCCCCTGTAGAGGGACAGGCCCGACTTAACTGTACCGTCGGAGATCTTGACTTATGTTCGTGCTGCTTTTCCCTCTTCGGGTGCTGCGTCAAGCGACGCCGCTCCTTCCGCGAGCGAGGAACATATCCGCATCCGCGGCCTTGCTAGCAGTTGCGAGCAGTGCCCCAGGGCCGCGAGCCCGTGGATACGGGGCGTTTTTGTTCGCGGACGCCCCGCGCGTTACGTATCCGTGCGACCGCTTATCCACGACAAAGATAAAACAGAAAAACAACGGGCGTAAACATAAACTTTTGGCGCTCCGCGCGGACTTCTTGGATCTGCGATGGACCCCCCTCACTGGCGCGCGGAGCGCGCCAGGGGCGGCGCCAGAGGCGCCGCAAGTGGGCCTCATCGCAGGTCCAAGAAATCCGCGCGGAGCCTCCTCCTCCTCCTCCTCCTCCACCTCCTCCTCCTCCTCCTCCTCCTCCTCCTCCTCCTCCTCCTCCTCCTCCTCCCTCTTTCATTCTCCCTCATCCCTCCTCAAAACACATTGTTTATGGGGGAACAAAAAAAACTTATACCGCTACTCCCCGGGCCTCTCCTGGGGTGCGTTCTGGCTAGGATTTCGAGGCGACGCCAGCGGTGGCGACGAGGGTCTCCCAGGAGGCCCCTAAAAAGGCAAACGAGGCGAGGGCAGCTGTATGGGCACGTTTCCCTCCTCTGACTTGTGGCGTTTTCCTCTCTTCGAAAAGAGTCCAAACCTCGAGGGCACGGAATGGATACGTTCGCCGCTCGTCGTCCTCCTCCGGAAGTTCGCGCGCACCCTGCGCTGCGCGGTGGGCTCTGGGAAGGGGCGCGGCAGCCCGCCGCAGGGCAGCAGCGGCCGCCACTGCTCGGTCACGTGCTCAACGTTTGCCTGAGCGGAGCCACAACAGTTATGTCGGGCCTGTCCCCCTACAAGGGGATTTTCGACAAAAAATAAGCAATACCCCAAACATGCCCCAAAAAGGTCAAACAATACTGGACAAATAGCTTCCATACTATTTTTGGATTATTGTTTGACTATTTTTTGGGCATCTTTTTTTTATTTTTCGTCGAAAATCCCCCTATAGGGGGACAAGCCCGACTTAACACAACAGCTCAGCATCAAGAAGGGGGGGCCGAGCGGTGATTCACTGTGCCTGGGTGCGTGGCTGGCGTGGGGTTCCCCGGTGCGGATTGCTGTGTCGTTGTTGTCGGTTGTTGTTGGTTGTTGTTGTGACTGCTGCTGTCGTTGTCGGTTGTTCACCGAGTGCGGGCGATGATATTCACCGGGGGATTACAAAGTTCAAGGGTCTGGCGGGGATAGACAAGGATTTTCCCGGTGAAGGTGAAGTTATGATGATGATGATGATGATGATGATGATGATGATGATGATGATGATGACGATGATCATGATGATGGTGGTCCTGGGCGCTCGGCACAAGACTGACTCAAGAGATCTCGATGCTGGTGGCTACAACTTGCCAGCAGGCGCTCGGCACAAGACTGACTCGAAAGATCTCGAGGCTCGTGACTATACAACTCGCAAGAGAGGTCCTTGGCCGTTCTGGCCAAGAAACCTATATTGCGCTGGACTTCGAACCACTCCCCCATGCAGGCGCGACATGAGATAATAACAACTTCGATTCGCAACTTCCCCGGTGGATTGTCAGTTTCGGCCTCCGCGCCCCTCTCCACAATTAAACCCTGCTGAACGGGGATGATAAATATAGAGGGGGTGAAAGGGGGAATGACTTATTATCGCCCGCAGTCGGTTAATGTTGCTCTGGTCCCACTCGCGACCTGGCCGCGACTTGGCCCGCGACCCACCCGCGACCCACCCGCGTCCAACCCGCGACACACCCCTCGCCCGCCACCTCACTGTGGTCCGCAACTTTCGGAGCTCCGCGCGGACTTATTGGATCGGTGCCCGGGGCGGCGCCGCCAGTGGGGGTCCAGCGCAGGTCCAAAAACTCAGCGCGGAGCTCCGACAACTCATGCCTGTTCGTTTTTTTCCAACCGACTGTGGTGTTGGGTCCTCGTTTCGAAGAGACGGTCCCCACGTTCTTCGTCCCTCCTTGCTCCCTCCCCCTCCTCCCTCCTTCCTGCATTTCACCCACCCAGTTCAACGCGTCGTGGCCCCATAGGAAGCTCCACCGAAGCCCCCAATGGGACCGTCCGCATGCGATCCGGAAACCCAATTTGGCATTTTCATCTACCCAGTACAGCGTTTCGTGGCCCCATAAGGGGGCTCCACCGAAACCCTCAATGAGACCGTCCGCATGCGTCCCGGAAACCCAAGTTGGCACTTTCATCAACTCAGCGCAGCGTTTCGTAGCCCCATAGGGAGCTCAACCGAAGCTCCAAGTGGGACCGCCGCATGCGTCCCGGAAACTCAATTTGGCATTTTCACCCACCCAATACAGCGCTTCGGGGCCCCATAGGGACGAGTGGGACCGTCCGCGTGCGTCCCGGAAACCCAATTCGGCATTTCCGCCCACGTTTCATAGCCCCATAGGCAGCTCCAGCGAAGCTCCCAATGAGACCGCCCGCGCGCGTCCCACATACCCAATTTGGCATTTTCACCCACCCAGTACCAGCGCTTCGTGGCCCCACAGGGAGCTCCACCGAAGCCCTCAATGGGACCGTCCGAATGCGTCCCGGACGCCCTATTTGGCAGTTTCGCACACCCAATACAGCGCTTCGTAGCCCCATAGGGAGCTCCACCGAACCCCCCAATGGGACCGTCCGCGTGAGCTCTGGAACACATTTTGGCATTTTCACCCGCCCAGTACAACGCTCCGTGGCCTCATAGGGAGCTCCACCGAAGGCCCCAGCGCCACCGCCCGCATGCGTCCCCTCACCAAGTTCGGCACACGCCTCACACGTTTCGTGGCACAGGGAGCTCCACTGAAGGCCACAGTGCTACCGCCCGCATGCGCCCCCCCCCACAAAGTACAGCGATTCGTGGCCACATCGGAAGCTTAACCGAAGGTTCCAGGTCTACCGCCCGCATGCGCCCCCCTCACCTAGTACAGCGCTTCGTGGCCACATGGGGAGCTCCACTGACGGCCCCAGTGCTACCGCCCGCATGCGTCCCCCCACCCAGTACAGCGCTTCGTGGTCCAATAGGGAGCTCCAACGACGGCCCCAGTGCTACCGCCCGCATGCGTCCCCCCCACCCAGCGCTTTGTGGCCCCATAGGGAGCTCCACCGAAGGTCCCAGCGCTACCGCCCGCATGCGTCCCTCCCACACCCAGTGCAGCGCTTCGTGGCCCCATAGGCGATAGGGAGCTCCACCGACGGCCCCAGTGTTACCGCCCGCATGCGTCGCCCTCTCCCAGTACAGCGCTTCGTGGCCCCATAGGGAGCTCCAACGACGGCCCCAGCAGTGCTACCGCCCACATGCGTCCCCCCACCCAGTACAGCGTTTCGTGGCCCCATGGGGAGCTCCACCGACGGCCCCAGTGCCACCGCCCGCATGCGCCCCCCCCTCACCCAGTGCAGCGCTTCGTGGCCCCGCAGGGAGCTTCACAGAAGAATATGTTCAATATTGCAGTACCCACAACTGCATCCGGTTGGGTCATTCGCCAAGATAATTGTTTTCTTCGACTGCCTCGAGCCCTTGCAGCCGGCTCCAAGACACGCTGCAGGGCCTGGAGGCTGAGAACGGGTGACCGTCGAAGCCGTGGAAGAATGACCTGAAGCGCTCCGCGGCCGCCGGCTGGGTGAAGTTTACGAACGCACACCCGTGGGTCTCGGAGGTATCGAAATGCGCCGGAAGATACACCAGGTCGAACTGCCCCGAGTAGCCGTGGGCATCCAGCAAGCTGACCAGCATGTCGCGGCTGCAGGTGCAGGGAATGCCGCGCACCATCACCGTGGTGTAAATCTCCGTTGCGACGCCCGCCTGCGTGCCGTCCTCTCCAGGATCAGGCTTGCCGAGAGGCGCACGCGTCCGCTGGCTCACGGGATCAGGCTCACCGTGCCTGGAGATGAACGGTCTCGACTTTGCGGTGAGTGGCGTGCGGAAGCCCGCAGCTACTAGAGGCGGGACGCTGTCCTGTGCTCCGCGCGTCAGCAGCAGTGGGACCGTCTGCGTGCCAAGTGCGGTTGCTGGCGACAGCGGCTTGCTGACTTCGGGGGCCCACCACGGCTGCAGGAGGTCGCTGCGTGTAGAACCGGTCGCTGGAACGAGGTCTGCCAGCAGCAGGAGCGTTGGCTCGTCGTCTTCCATGTCTGCCCAAGCGAGGGCCCCTGTGAGCGGGCGCTTGCTGGGTTGCTTGTCGCAGTCAGCCGCAAACTGGTTACCGAGCGGTGCCATCGCACTGGTAGAGGATACTGAAATGACTCTGATATGAAGCTGTTGCTTAGAAATGGCCGTCCAAACGCCGATGTTGAAATGTGCGCACTTGGGCAACAATGACCGCGGACAAGAGGGAGAAGAAACTGCAGGAAACGAAGCCACTTTTAGACAAAGCGTATGGCAAATACCTAGAAGTCTCTGACGGCGCATGGACGTACAAAAAACCGATTTCCGGACGCCCCGCCCAAACCAACCTTACACCTACCCTGGGGGTCTAACCCGGCGCACCGAGCCCTGCAACAACAACTGAAGACCGTCCACTCACCTCAACCGGGAAAACAACCACTCCAGCTCTAAGTCAGCCGACCCCGCCATGCTAGGGAGGGGGAAGGCGTGTGAGATGCGACGAACTCCTCCTCGCACCAACTGGGCCTTCCGGGCCTCCAGATCTTCCCTCCGACGACCCAGATACGTACGCTCGAGATGCCATCCACGATGGCTCCAGAAAGGGTCCAACACGTCCAGGCGGCCTCACCCATATCTAGTAAATCCCTGCTGGATCCTGGAAGGCCGACAGAGGGGCGAGGAGGGAGCCCGGACGCCCAACACCATGTACAAATGCTACGTTGTTCGATGTCGCCCCTTCGCGCCCAGACGCTCCGCACAAAAAAGGCTCGTGGCACTCTAGAAAAAAAGGTGCCCCTGACAAACCAACTTGCCGCGGCAGCCAACACAGCTTCAAAAGGGCCCCAGGGGCTTCCTGCGGGTCGCCAGGGCGATCCGCAGTGGGGTCTGCGACGGCCCAGAAGCGAGCAACGACTGGCCTGTGCGCTCCCACACGCGGCCCCAGTCCAAAACGACCCCAGATGATGGGCGTGTTTTCCACCACCACCACCATAAGTTGGAGGGGGGGGTCCTCCTCCTCCTCCTCCTCCTCCTCCTCCTCCTCCTTTTCCTCCTCGTCTTCGTCCTCCTCCTCCTCGCCCTCCTCCTCCTTCCCCCCTCCAACTTATGGTGGTGGTGGTGGAAAACAGGCGCATCACCAGACCACCAGAAACGACGCCAACAGGGCCGCGATGTGATCCAAGAGGGCCCTACGAGAGCCCCAACAAACTCCTGCAGGGCCCCGCGCCTGGCATCAGTTGCAGCAGCATGTCTCAAGCGGGTGTCCTCTTGGAAAGTCCGCGGGTTGCCATGTCAAGTATACCGTATGTCGTGTAGAACGGCGTTCGCAATGCGGCCGAAGGGTGCAGACACAGTGGGTGTCTTGAGACCACTTGCTAGATGACGACAATTTCAGCCCGTGCTCGGTCACAACGGCGGGGTAACAAGCTTCGGATGTGCGAGCTGCTGGAATACGCGCCACATAATTGTACGAATGTTCACTTGTCTTTGGACGTGTAGCCGCGCCATAGGAGGCTTGCACCTCGGATGCCGCATCCCTTCTCCTCGTCTTCGGTATCCCTTACCAGTTTGCGGTGCCCTGAATCGCGACCTGTGCAGCATCTCCTATGAGTGTCACAGCACGGAATGCGACTTTCTTAGGATCGCTCAAAAAATGAGCGCGAGCCGCACTGAATCGCCTGGCTTGTCTGTTGGCCGCTTCTTGAAATCACTGTAATGCTACAGCGTATGCCATGAGCCAAATCACTGTGAGCAGAGAGTGCGCCGGCGCCCCTCTAGTGCATACAGACATGTTGGCTGCCACATTCGAAGTTTTCGCTCCAGGAGCTCCTCCAGTAAGCTCGTGCAGTTGTACGGGGAGAAAGACTCGACGTCCTCGCCCTGGTCCGATTCGACGTCGCCGTTGCCGGTCTTAGTGCGGCGTGTTGCGCCATTAGTGCAGATGTTCGTTGGTCCCACGCGCGGGCCACATGCCTTCCCTACCCCTGAAATGCGGGAGTGTACGCCCGCTTCCGTACCAACAATGTTGATGTCGTCAACGTTTTGGCTCCTCGGAGTTCCTATGGTACCTCCAATTCCTTATCGCGGCTCATCGGCATGAGTCCGACGGACCGGGTGCGCATGCGTCATGTCAGGTGGAATGCTACTGGAGCGTCGTTCATCCTCGTCCCTGGTTTGAGGCACTGCGGGCAATGGCGAATGTCGTCGTAGTTCTGATGCCCTTGCTATGTCCCAAGAACCGCCTCGCTGCCAGGAGACATGACCAAACATACAACACGTTCATTTTCTCTCGTTGCCTCTGCGAGCGCACGGCATGCGCGCCCTCGTAGGAAGGCCATGCATACATCCATGGATGATATCATCCCGTGGGTGTGGCTCGTAGCCGAAGGGTGCAACGTCTGGCTGTTCCTGGGGAGCGTTTACCCGTCGGGGGCGTCTAAGCCCATGGGGCCCGAAGGACCAGGCGTAGCCTGATGGTCCTGTGCATCGCTCCAGCCTGCCTGTTCTTGAAGAGTTCCCATGTGTGAGCGTCACGTGGAGTCCTCGCGTCGGCGGCATTCGCCAGTTCTTGCATCTTGAAGTGCGGTGGTCCTCTGGCCAATTCTTCGATGTCGCGTATGATGCTTCAAGTGTTGTCCAATTTCATGTGCCGCGCAACATGTGTTCGCGAGCCATATGATATGTGTCGCCAATGTATGTTATGACATGCGTTGTTCAATGATGCTGTGTACGTGATGCTGAAATCATTCCAATACCATTATATATATGATGCGCTGCTCTGCTATGGCATACCCCTTGAATGACGGTCTAAATGTCGGTGTAATGGCAAGCTCATTGCCGTAGGAGTAGCAATAAAAGAGTTATGCCATGGTATGCTGGTTACGTGTTGCCCTGTACGATGCTCATTGCATTGTGCTATTCTCGTTTATCATCTGCGCTATTGCTGAAGCCTCAGATGTTTGAATACGTCGCTCCCGTCGTGGTACCAATACAACAATCAGTCCTGGCTCGCTATGTTAAGATATGTAAAGATATGCCGCACTTATGCTTCGCTGTGGCATGATATGCATTGTTCTCATATGGCATGCTCGATGCTGCGTTCTGTCATGCTCTGTTATGTCGGGACACGGTATTTGAGTTTCTCTTATGTCATGCTGTGTCAAACTATGGTATGCCGAGGTCCGTCATGATATGCTTTGTCGTGCATTGGCATGTTGCGGCTCTGAATGACATGATATGTGATGTCATGGTGTGACATGTATGTTCTGGTATCGTGCGTTATGTTATGATGTGCTCCGCCCTGGTGTCGTATGATGGATGGTGTTGTGTTATGCTCCGGATGCTCCATGCTGTCATAGCATGCGTTATTATGATGCGTCATGTGTATGACCTGTTATGACATACTGTGTTTGTTATCGCATTGTTATGGCATGGCGGTGAAATACATCGTAGTATGCTATGCTATAATGTGTTATGCCGCGGGATGTCATGGTATACTTGTCATTCAATGGAATGGTATGTGATGTGATGCTGCACTACGGTGTAATCTGCAATGCCATGTTAGCTCTTGTTATGTTGGAATCTGGATTGTCATCGCATGTCATGGTATGCCCTGTGACGATATACCATGAAGTGTGGCGTTACACTCTGTGCTGCATGATCCATTCGGTCATAGATTATGGTCCATTGCTATTTGATGTGATGTTATGGTGTAATAGAGGAGTATGCCGCGCCCTGTCATGCCATGATGTGCCACCTGTGTATCTCGATGATCCGTGTCAGATTATATGTGCTGTGATGTTGTGTCGTTTTAGTGTGTTGTGTCATTGAATGTTATGTTGTGATGTGTCATGCGTTGTTATGTGATGGCATGACATGGTATGTACTGTATGTTCTGGTCTGTCCCATCATGCGGGCTCATGCTGAACTGTGTTGTGATGTGGTAGGTCACGTAATGTGAGGATGTGGCATGTCCTGCTTTGGTATGGCCAGTTATGTGAAGTGCTCTTATGGCTTGCTTGATTGGTAGTGTTATGGGACGATATGTGATGTGATGCTGTGCTATGGTGTGCACGGCTCTGTCATGGTGCACCATGTTACGATACGTTGCCATGATATTGTATGGTCTGCTCGGATATGCTATGTTAGGTGGTGTGGTATGCTGATCCATTCGGTCATGTCCTATAATAATGTGATGTACTATGTTCTACTATGTTATAAAGCCGCTCTGTCATGTATGTTTTGGCGATGCGAGGCGGGACTTTCCGTGACACTCGGGGGACCAGAGGATCTGGCGGTCGCGGTATGCAGAGAGGACGGAAGCGGGACTCTCGGGGATGCTCTGGGGACCTGGGGATCTCGCGGCCGCGGTGTGCAAAACGGCGCGAGGCGGGGCTCTCGGAGAAACCCGGGGGGCCTGGGGATCTGGCGGCCGCGGTATGCAGGATGGAGGTCGGGAGGTCCGTTCTGAGGTCGGGAATGTCCTCCTACAAGCGGACTGGGAAAAAATGATACAAAGTCGGGGCATACTCAACAACATTAGGATACTGAACAGGAAAATCGCCCCAAAATTATGTTCGTGAGTTTTCCACCATTCCCCCTTGTTGGTAGACGTGCCCAAGTTCGTCTCAAAATCTCCAAATCTAACGACACCAACCTGTCGGGTGAAAAGAAAAAAAAACAAAAAAACAAAAAAAAAAAAAAAAAAAAAAAAAAAAAAAAAAAAAAAAAAAAACGCCGCGGCGGCTCCTCACCCCACAGCCCGAGCATCAGGGTGATGCGCGGGGGCCCGTCTGCGTCCGCCGCCGCCAGCGAACCAGCCTGGCCGAGGTCAACAGGCGGCGGGGGGCAGGAAACGGAGGAGGAGGAGGAGGAGGAGGGGGAGGACGGGGAGGAGGAGGAGGAGGAGTAGGAGGAGGAGGAGGAGGGGGAGGAGGGGGAGGGGGAGGGGGAAGAGGAGGAGGAAGCGGAGGAGGAGGAGTACAGTACAGTACTCGCGCCCTTCAAGGCCATCCTGTGACTGTTGTACTCTGGCTCGGGTTGGGGCTCGATAGACATTGCTACGCCACCCATTTCTCACTTCGCCTAACAAGGCAACCGTGCTGCTGCCGCAACATCTGACGTTCTGCTGATTCTGCCGCGCAATCAACAGCTGTTGAAAAAGAAGAAGAACAAACAACAACAACAAAACGAACATGCATAAGCAACGACGCACTAATGAATATAATGCGCACGTGTGCTGATGTCACAACACGTAAACTAATCAGAAGCAACTGCATATAATACACAACCAACGAGAATATTGGAAGGCGCGGGCAGCAGGCTGATGGCCTGCAGGAAGAGGCCCAGCACGAGGGCGTGGCCGTGGGGACTACTCACTCACTTCTTGCCTCCTCTGCGCCTCCCACCCGGCTGGCGGGCCATGTTGTTGCGAGGGGCTCGGTTCATCTTCGCGTCTCCTCCCATTCCGCGAATGGCTTCGCTGATCAACTGCTCGACTGGAACCCAGAGCCCTGGGATCTGCATCATCTCTGAGGGGGCCTCCGCGGGGCTGATCATGAGGCCTTTCACTGGGGTGTTGGGATCCTCGGGGTCCTCCTTGAGCTTCGCTTCGAGCTCGGCCGCGACCCCGTCCTCGCAGGGCAGGAGCATGTTGCCGTGCAGCGCGTACGTAATGCGACTCTTCTGAGAGACCCCCGGCTTGTCGAAGGTGGGGGGCGCCACGATCTCTCGAATCCATGCTGCCATCTGTGCTGGAACCGAGCGCCCCATCATTAGCGCATGCCTTTCGCAGCCTGATGCGACCGCTTTCATCCGCGGCGAAAAATCCTTGAAGCTGTAATTCTCGATAACGGCTAGAAGTGCGAAGAGGGCTTGGGGCGCGGGGCCTGCGAGCTCCTGCTTGAATTTGGCCTTCTCCTCCCTGGTGCGCTTGAGGTAGTCCTGGAACCAGTTGTTGGTGGCCTCGATGGCCGCTGACTTGCGATCGATGATCGCGGTGGAGAAGGCTGCGTTTTTGAGGCTCCTGACTCTGGCCTCGAGCTGGATCAGCAAGGCGTCCCTGGTCGAGATCTTGTCGAACTGCCCGTCGTCCTCCTCCAGGTCGCCCTCCATCCTGGCCCGCTTCTGCAGCGGCCCTTATCCCCCCAGCAAGCTCGCTGCGCGTGGTCTCGCCAGTCCCGAGCTTGACCCTGCGCCGTCCATCAAGCCGAACGTGAAACTCGGGATATAGATACTCACGCAAATGAAGAAAAAGGTGCTCGAGACATGAGTCTACGGATTCAACCTCCTCAAGACAAATGTGGCACTTCATGTTGGATATATATATATATGTATGCATGTATGTATATATATATATATTGAACTGCATTTGCATATCAACCACGACTATAGGGGCAATGTTGCATGATCAAGATCTTCTTAGTGCGTTGTGGTGCTACTGTGCGGTCACGAGATGCACTTCCACATATGGTACACGTATTGGTCGGGGTACATATTCTGGCTACATGCAGTTGACCATGAGTAACTCCTTTCGTAGAGGCGACGCGTGCTATTAATTGTTTTCTCGTGGCCCATCGGGTGCAGCATTGTGCCCCGTCGTCCAGAAATTCACCGCAGACGAATCTCCTTCGACCCCATCCGCCTGAGTTGCTACGCTGGTGGCAGCTGGCGAGAAATGAAAATGAGCGCGCAGCTGACTGACATCAAGCGATTGAATTTCTTCGCTGATGCCGGGGCCAAACAGAATGACATCCAGGCGATCATCTGCCTGCAATAAAGAATCCTCGCCAGGCTCCATGACCCCAAGAGAGTCTATGTCCTGCTGTAGCTGAACGGCCCAAGGGCGCCCCTGAGGAGGTGCTCGACCTTCTAGCAACGCATCTCCATCTACTGCCATAGAGCCTAGCAGAGCGGCCCAAAACTGGCCCTGAAACTCTTTGGCTTTGCTTAATTCCTGGTACCACCTAAATCGTCGTAATCTAAGCTCAAGAAGTAAAGGCCCCACTCCGACCTTCTTGAGGGCCTGTTGAAACGCGAGCGATTTTGCATGCCCCGACTCCCAAGAGCAAGTCCCTGCCAGAATAGCCCTGCATTTGTGCACGATGAACGTTTCGAGACCATGGATGCCCCTCGGCGAAAGGGGCCCTTGAGACTTGGCCCAGACTGCCATCCCAGAGAAGGCACTGTTGATCAGGAGGCCTTTCACGAGATTCACCTTGAGCTTCCAAGGTGCAGTCCAAAACCAGAAGCTCCCCATCGTACAGTAGCTTACTCGGAGCGACTCGAGTCGCTTCCCAACTTCGGGGGCAGGAGAGAACGTGGAGGAAAGATGCCCTCCGAGATATCGAGCCTGGTGCCGACAAGCTCCTGCAACTGCATTGCACTCGCCTCGATGCAAACGCCTTGTTAAATTGTGAGCGCCCATGCCTGCTAAATATACGACTTTTCCTGATTGGATAAATTTTGCACTGCCCCCACCTCTCGCATCCCGCCTGATGCTGCTTCATTCTCGGCTGCTGAACCTGCTGCTAGCTGCTGAATAGCGCTCCCCTTCCCGATCTCCAGTACCTCGTTAGCGATGTCACCCCCAAAGCCAGCGAGCGCAACTTGCCGCATGTCCACGCCGTGCTCGTCCCACGGGAGCCGTGCCTCGACAGCGACGCGTCACCCATGTGTGCAGCGCTGATCGGCCACGCACTGCATGACCGGCTGCGAGAAAGACCTCACGAATAGAAGAGTAGCCCCAATATCTCCAGGAAATACGCCTGTCCCAGGACGAAGCCAGAAACACCCTGATTCATCCTGAAATTATATAAAAAACACCCCTGGTGATTCGATCTTCGATAAACTCGAGGTCTTCAAACATATAGGTCGTGTCTGCAGAGTCAATCACCACAGCATGCTTGAGCGGAGACAAAGAAAAATGCATTCGATGCATCGTGTCATCGCAGCAAATGTGAGACTCCTCCTCTCTGCATTCGGTAACTGCTGATGATTTGGACTACCCTGGCCGTTTCACGACGCCGACGCTCCAGACCACCGTAGAACCAATCTGGAGGAGACCAGGGATTGATTTTTCGGGAACAAAAAGCTCCAGCATTGAAATTCCGTCCCAGGGTGCACATAACCATGATGATACGTTCTTCATCGCAATCCAAGTTGGCGTTCCTGGGTAGCCTGGCCGCCTGAGCAGCGTGCCAGGCAGCAGGCGTGCGCCTCCAGCGCCGGCAGGCGACAAGTAGCTTCCTGAGAAGCTCGGCTGGGCGATTCTCGGGGAGCTCCACTTCTCCGAGTCCGGTGCCTGCTCGTGCTCTGGGTCGTCGATCATTGACCCAGGTCGGGTGAAAAAGAAGCCGCAATAACTCAGGCGGGCAAGACCACTCGGGCCAGGTTCCCCAGAACCGAAGTTTCCAAAGAGCCCGAGACATAGATTCAACATCTTTCACTGCTAACCCAATGGCATCGAGTTCTTGCCTGGGTTCCCGAGGAAGCTCCTGAACCTCTTGCTGCATGATCCCCAAGGGGGACTCCGTGGCCGAGCAGCCGCCATCGCTAGACGAAGGGTTTCACACGTTCAGCCCACGTCGAGGCCGAGGCTGCTGACTGCGGTAGACCACGATACTGTCTCTTGCGGGGTCCTTGCCCTCTGCCAGCCAGCATGCGGGATAGCTTGTGTACCAAGTTGTAGTTGCGCTGTTCCAGTGCCACCTTGAGTTCGGGGACTCGCCTGTTGCGAACATCTTCCCAGCATGTTCGAGCCGTGCCCCGAAGCTGGCGACTGAGTTGCTGGGCGACATAATCACTAGTTGACCTGCCTAGTAGTTCACGCTGTCGTCTACGCTGCTGTTATAGTGCGGCCAAGAGCTGAGCACTAGTAACTCTCTCCTCTGTGTACAGCGGGGAGGCAGTAGATACTTCGCAGGCGGCATCATTGAGCGCTCTCAGTAGCGTGGCGTTCATATCGTCAACTTTGCCCTCCTCATACATCCTCTTGACCTCCTCCATTACCTCCTCCGCCTTCTGATTCAATACGGTGATGAACTCCTCACGTTTGAAACTGAGCTGCACGCGCTCGCACATGGCCTCGCGATTGGGACGAGAAGGTCGCTCAGGAAGCGGAGCAGCAGAGGCGATGATGTGTGCAACTAAAACAACTGGCCTATGGTCCCTGGCTGAGACAATCTGATGTAGTTGGAGCCGCCTAGCGCTTCGAGCGTGAACTTGGCAACTCTCGACTGCAGGGAGAAGAGCACGAGGGACCACCACGTGGTCAATGTGACTTCCGCCAGTCTCACCGACATAGGAGGCAACGTTCGGGAAGAAAGTGTTCGCGGCGGAGAGGTCCCGCGCCTGCAGCACGGGGCGGATGGCAGCCGAGGCGGGGCCGGGGTTGCCGACGCCATGCTCTCCTGCGACGCAGTCGTCATCTGACTGCCTGAGACGTCCATTCAGATCCATGTGGAGAAGGGGAAGTGCGTGTTTGCTGTCTAGAAATCCGACAGTACTCTGCAGCCACGCCACGAGGGAGGTGACTGCTTTGTCATACACCTGCTTCTGTCCCCTCTTAGAAACACGAAGTGGAAAATAGAGCCCGATGATGCCGAACGCTTGCTCCTGCTGCCTCACGAGAAGACATCCAACTCTTCCCCACAACTGCTTGGACACGGGCAGAACTCTTTTGACCGAGTGCTTCTGAAACCGACTCTTCTTCAACAGGATGGTGATGCCACACCATGGAGTAACTAGTGGCCCACGATTGTAACCAAACT